GGCGCAGAAGCGTGAACGGGCTCGGGGTGGCAGCGGGCTGGGCAAGGGGCGCCGGGCAGCCAGTCTTCCTCACTCTCCTGGGGGCGGGGGGCACGCTTCTGGCGGTGGGGTGCTGCAGGGGTAGTGCTCAGGCACGGTGACGGCGCCCCGGCTTTCCTTGTGCTGGCAGGAGAGAGGCCAGGCGGGTGAGAGGTGACAGCTTGTTTCCCCTTTCTGCGCTGGGTGCGTGCACTTTTGTGCTCAGTCGGAGAAACGCTTCTAGCGCTGAAGTCTCGGTCTGTGCTGCTGTTTCTGTGAGGGTCACCATCTACCAAAGGCTGGAGTTAGCTGGGTACCTAAGTGAGCCTGAGAGTCCCCAAGGGGCTATGTGACATCCTGCCAATGAAGTGGAGCTGGAGGAGGTGACCCGAGCAGTGTAGAGTCGCTCTTAATTGTTAGGACAATTACAGGCCTCAGAGCAGGATAGTTCTGGAAAGGCTGTGCAGTTGCTGGACTGCTCGGTAACTGTTCTTTGGCAGGTGCTGACGTACAGCCTGGCATCGAAGGAGCAGTACAGCTGGGAGCGCTGCAGACATCTGTGGCCAGCTGTGGAGGGCACACTCAGACTTGCACCGTTGGCACAGCCAAGTCCTGTGGCAGTGTGGCACATGAGGGAGGCTGAATGGGTGGAAGGTGGTTGTGTCCTAGTTGGGGATGGGGAATACTGTGTGACAGTCTGCATGCGGCTGGGTGGAAGGAGCTGAAGGGGGCAGTGTTTAAGATGGAAGCTGAGTGGGGGTACTGAGCAGGACACACATTTGCTAAGCAGTGGCAATTTGAATGATGCACCAAGCAGTTTGTCAGCTTGAACTACAAATGTTCAGAATATGGGTAACAGACTAAAAGAGTAATTACTGTTTTATATAATAAGTATTTTGTTGGAGAACAGCTTGCAGAGAGCAAGGCCATGGGTCTCTGCAGGAGCTGATTGCAGCCATCTGAGTTAAACAAAGGAAAAAACCCAGGTACAGTTATGCTAACAAAGGACTGTTATGTTAACAAAGAGAGAAACTGAGGTACACAATGGCCTTGAGTGTGATAGTAAACAACCTTGGGAAAGAAAGCAGACCAGAAGAAGGAAGGTGTTTATGCATATCTGAAATACCACAAGGGGAGGGATATTATAATGTAGCCTTTTACATGTATCCAAAAGATTTGTGAGTAGTATGCATTATTGTAGAGTGCTTATATGAGGTGTGATTTCTTTCAATAAAGTTGAAGCTTGCTCTATCATTCACATTGAATCGGCTGCTTGCTTCCTCCGCCCGCCGCAGTATTTCGCCAGCTGTAGTATTTTACCTTTGTTCTGAGACATTTTCTGGTTAGTCTTTAGGCCAGAGACAAAGGTTTTAGCTGTTTAACTGTTGTTAGTGACTGCAGGAAGAATATTACCTGTTGCAACAAATGCTTCTCTCTTGGCAGGTTCTACATTCTGCATTAGTAGGTGCTATACAGGAAAAGCGCACCATTTCTGTTGGTACTACATTTGATGAACTACTTTCCCATGTAACTTCGTATCATCTTAAGCTATTTATATTTAAAGAAAGGTTTGCATTCAGCCTAGTAAAATGAAGTTTAATTACCAACCTGGTCAGGTTGTAGGTGCAATGTACAGAGCTGTAGCAAAGGGGCGGGTGGTGTCACCTCCGGCAGCCATCCATTCCTTGGTCTGGTGCTTGGTGCACTGCAAACCCAAGCCAGAGCAGGAGGCGTGCTGCTGTGCCTCCCCATCCAGGGAGGTTTTTTGTTCCCCCCCAGTATTTTTTTTTTTTTCTTCCCCCTGGTCCTGGCTGTTCTGCTGTATGTAACGCAGTGACAGGCCGCAGGGAGATGGCTACAGGTCTGACACTGGATGGGTGTGTGGAGGTGAAGCAGACGCCCAGCACAGAGGAGGCACTCACAGCTGGAACTGGTTTAAGTGCCATTTATCACCTTTGTGAAGGAGTAACAGATGATTTATTCCTTCATATGTAATAAACCATAAATTTGACCTCCATTCTTTCTTTCACACATACAGAACTAATGGCTTTTCCAAATTTGGTTCACCAGACAAGAAACTGAAGACAGGAGCAAGTACTACTGTAGACCGCTCTGGATTACTGTTTCCATTTGAGTTCTGTAGAAATTTTGTTCAAGAGATGTCAGCATTTAAGTGCTGTATCATACCTGTGAGATCGGCGTTTTGTGTCTTAAGCCTTACCCACCTTTGACAAAAACTATAATCTAGCATTGGTTTGTGGTTCCAGGTATCTTCTGGGCATTTGGAGACCCCTTAAATTAAAACTACAAAAGATACAGTTTTTCTCTTTTTCTAAGAGTGTATCCTTGCTGTCTCCAAGACCTTGAAATTCCTTTTGAAAAAGCAGTGGTCCTTCCTGAATTCTAAATTCTCCTAAGAGCTACTATCCTTCTTGAAATTTAAATGCATTAGCTGACTTGATGGCAATAGGAAAAATAACACTGACTTAACATGAGCACCCATGAAAGCCAAGCATTCACCTCCAGCTGGGACCAAGATTTACTCCAGTCAGGCATCTCAGAATAGCAGCAGCAACACAAAGGTGGAGCACTGCAGTCTATCGTTAGCCAGGCTACATCATCCATTCCTTCACTGTACCTTTCCCTTATGGCATGTTAAAGTGGAGCTCAGAAATTTAGTTTGTTTATTTATAAAATTAGATCTTAATTTACATCTGGCCAATACATGTAATATTCTCACTTGGCCACTATAGTCAGTCTCACCAGGTGAAAAAGAACGCAGGAATCTTAAGAGAGAGAGAGTTGCATCCAAGACCCGCACATGAAAGGTTTACTACAGGGAATATGCAGAATTGTTTTTGGTTTTTTTTTTAAAAAACGGAGTTCTGATTTTACAAAGTTCACTGAAATTATCTGATAGCAAATTTAGGAACTGAGATGTCTGCCACATGATGTAGTTAGTTCCAACCACAGTATTGTAATTCATGATATGAAGGTTTCATATCAGTGTTAAAAGCCTTAGGCTTAAGATCTTCTGAAGTAGGCCTCAATTTGTTCCAGGGTCTGTCCTTTTGTTTCAGGAACATAAAAGGCTGTAAAAGTTACATTGAGGCAGCAGAAGGCAGAGAAGAGCCAGAACGTGCCATAGGATGTTAAGAAACCCTGAGAGAGGGGAAACAATAAAAACCACATTATTACAACAAAACCCACATTATTACAGGACAACCCATGTTATTGCAGCTCACTAATGTACAACTACAGTTCTGTATTGCCAGAGAAGACTGGCTCAAGGTTCTCTCAGGAGGATATTAAATAAATTGCCCTATGAAAAGAAACTTCAGATTGTAATTTACGATGCTTACTATTAAATCATTAAATTCTTTGGTTACCAAGAAGGCCATAACCCAGTTTGTTAACACACAAACACCACTCGATATGCCTCTAGCTTTAAGCGGGAAGATTTCAGATATCACCAGCCATGGAACAGGACCCCAGCCAAGGGCAAAACCTGCAATTACAAACAGGAGAGAATAAATGCAAGTACTCAGTAAAGGGAAGGCTGAATGATGGCCAAGTTAGTCAAGTAAGGGAGATGAAGTTTTCACTCAGGATTCTTGGACAATTCCAGTAAAACAGTACCTCTACCAGAAGGAGAGAAAGTTATTTTAGGGCAGCATCATAAATGCTACCGCATTTTACATCAGATTAATAACAAAAGTATTCTGACAAGCAGAACTTCTGGCCATGAAGTCTCTGAAGTGGCAAGTTTAAAAACTGACCTCGTTTCTAACTGCTGCTGCCTTGTACCAACACAGAATTCAGTGTGGCTCAGACACTAACAAAGATTGGTTTTTTTCCATTAATGACTGTAAAGCAGTTTAACCTAAGCAATTACTACTTACTATTAGCACAAAGAGATATAAATTCATTTTCCAGACAATTGGCTTAACTAAGCTGCTAGCTCTATCACCAGGGCTGTGAACACTCAGCCCAACGTTGCACTGTACACTGAAAAAGTCTGTCAAAGACATAACTCACTTCTCTATTCATCAATAATCTGACAAAAATGGAACAAAAATGTCACATTCATCAGAAAGCTTGAATTTTGTGCAATGGCTACTTAGAAGCCTGTTCCACTTACCAGCAACAAAGAGTCCTAGGCTCACTACTGCAAGCCAGGATATGCTGCTTTCTGTTCCTGGGGATGCTGCATTTAGAGCAAACCACACATCAGGATTTGATGAGTTGTTTCCATTTGGACGGACCATTTTAAAGTAAAGCCCAAACAACACCATACTGAGAGCCATGATTGTCCCTGTAAAGTAAGCAAATAAACAAGTTGTCACTGGTTGCCACTTGGGTATTAGAGGCAGAACATAGCTGGTCAGCCAAATATAAGTTATGCTGGCCCTCACAGAAGTCTTTCTTCAAAAGATAATGTTCTTGGAAATAAACACTGGCCTTGACAGGAGTGAAAGATGCTAGACAAATATTCTGAATGCTAGCCAAACAATATAGTCTTGACAGCCATTACTATTGAGTGTGCAGCACAACTACATCACACAGCATTAGTTTTATTTAGCACACTTACTGGTAAAGTTAAGATTTTTAACTTGTGTAATTCAACACCACAATGCACCATGAAAATAGCAGCAGCCACAGATAAATTACTTTGAAATAGCTATTTGTCTATAACTTGGGTATGAGAATGTATCCTGACACTAAATCTTACTAAGCAGAAAAATCATAGTAGTAAGAACTGTCTCAGTGACATAGCCATTTCAAAATAAAAACTGGACTGGTGAGAAGACAAGAAGATAGCTATATGTAGTTTCAAGGGGTTCCACCTACAATGTATATATATATAACATGATAGCTTCCTCTTATGAGTTTAAGTCTGTATTACGCCAAATTATAAATGTAAAGCAAACCACTTAAAAATGCATAAATTGCAATACTTAATTCCCCCAACAGTTAAGACACTCTGGTACTATATAGTAAGTTTTCTTACTGAACAAAATTCAGTAGCATGTTTTACCAGATATGTAAAGCAGCACTTTTCGTCCAGTTTTATCTATGATAAGTGCAGCCACAGCAGTGAAACATACTTGTATGGAACCCACAACAACAGAAGCCATTCTGCTGTCCTGAAATAAAGTAAGAAGTAAGGAGAACTTCAAGGCTGTTAAGAGGATCACTTATCAAGCATTACAAATGCATTTTTTTCTTGAATCTGAAAGAAGACAAAGTATGCCAGAGAAATTAATGGTGGTGGGAAACAAGGAGACAATGGGGG